CCCCACTTACTTCCCACTGCCAGAGCCTTTAACTGACACATGTAGCTACACACGGCAGCATGGATGCTGCTTGCTTTTTACTGTGGCATGTAGCTGCCAGCAGTGGCATGTAGTATAGACGTAGCCTGAGCTATTACTGAATCGGTGCCCTTGAATGATCCTGGGGTTGGAAAGTTTGGGGTAAGGGAAGGATATTGTTTTGCTGCAGGTGTTGTATTTCACAAGCGATGTAAAACTAAGGTCCTGACCACTTTAAAGTTCACATACAACTTTTTGTGAGAGGAAGGGTGTAACCCTGGCTTCCTGAACACGTGCCAGCCTGAGGACCACTCTCACTCAAACGGAGTACTGTTTTCCTCTGCAAGGAGTCCCACTGGCTTCAGTGCAACTGCTCAATGTGAGTAAAGGTGGCAGAATCAGCCCTCCATTCATTAATTACATTTTGTCCAGTTAGATTCAGTTAGATGTCTCTGGCCAGTTAAGTACAAATATTTGATAAGTCTGAATGGCGTCTAGTGCAGTCCTCCCTAGCTGGAAGGACGGTGGCTGTGAATGAGTTCAGGCAGAGGGAAAGATACTGCCTTCCATAGGGTGAGGTGAAGAACATCCTCAAGCCTTTTGCACCTTCTCCGCAAAAAACAATAAGAATATTGACAAGTCTCAGCATTTTAAACATTACAGTTAGTCTGTGGAGGAGGAGACCTATAAATCGCTTTGGAAAGATTTATTTTCCATTTCTAGTTTAGAAACTAGCTTTTTATTTTGTCAAAATATTGTCATCTTTTCTCAGTTAAGATAGAGAACATGCTTGTCACTTTCAACATACAATATAATGCCATGAATCCATTATTTTGGAGATGGCATTTACAGCTTTTGGACTTGATCCCTCCAGGTGTTGAGCACTCTGATGTGATGCAGCAAAACGTGTAAGCGTGTGCTAACTTCAAGCATGTGAGTAATCCCATTGACTTCAGTAGAACTATTCAAGTACTTAAAACTAAGCCCTTGTTTAAGTGTTTTGCTGGATCATGCCATAATGCTTGGTGCCTTGCAGGATCAAGCCCTTTAGTGAATGAACCTTTTCCCCCAAGATAGGCTTTAGCTTGTCCGTTCAGAAAAAAAAATGGCACCACTAACCCTGCCCATCAGATGCAGCAGGAATTTTTTAAAATTTTTGACTTGTAATGGTTTATTCTGTATCAGTTTTTAACAAACTGCTTGACACAGAAGTGATGCATTTTCCAGACGGAGGCAAGGTCACCGAACATTTTGTTTGACTTTAAAAGTTACTTTAACTCTACACAGCTTCTCTATCACTCTTTGCAACTTCTGTTTGACAAACTACTTTGAAGTACATAATGCAGCTTTAAGCTATTAGCACTTCCAGTTCTGCGGATGGAAAAAAGGAGTCATACTGAACAGAACGTTGGCTGTCTTTGGTAACCCAAAAGACAAACACCAAAGCAAGAATCCCTTGCACACACATTGTTACTAACTACTTGATACACTATTTGGGCATACAAAAATCAATTGCTGCTTGAACAAAGCAACTGTAATCAGCGTAACTGGGAAGCATAGAGGCAAAATGTAGGCACCAGCATTAAAACAATTTTTCACTCCACAGTGTGGATTAGTAAGACACTTTATTAGTAGTACTTGGTCTACACCTAAAATTTAGGTCAACCTAGCTATGTTGCTCAAGGATTGAAAAATTCACACCCATGCAAGATGTAATTAAGCCTATCTAAGCCCCTGTCTGGACAATGCTAGGTTGATGGAAGAAGTTTTTCATTGACCTAGCTACCGCCTGTCAGGGTGGATTAATTACAGCGATGGAAAAACCTCTTCCGTTGCTGAAACAAGTGTCTGTACTACAGCGGTTTGGCAGCAGCTTTGCTGCTGTATCACCTGTAGTATAGACATAGGCCTTGGCTACACTTACCCGGTAGTTCGGTGGCGAGCGATCGAACTTCTGGGTTTGACTTATCGCGTCTAGTCTGGACGCGATAAGTCGAACCCGGAAGTGCTCGCCGTCGACTGCGGTACTCCAGCTCATCGAGAGGAGTACCGCGGAGTCGACGGGGGAGCCTGCCTGCCGAGTGTGGACCAAGGTAAGTTCGAACTAAGGTACTTCGAACTTCAGCTACGTTATTCACGTAGCTGAAGTTCCGTACCTTAGTTCGAATTAGGGGGTTAGTGTAGACCTGGCCATAGCTTAGGCCTTGGCTACATTTGCAGCTGTATAGCGCTGTGAGGTAGACCTGTCTTCGTACAGCTGAGAAGGGAAAGCGCTGCAGTCTGTCCACACTGACAGCTGACAGCGCAGTGGTGTGGCCACACTTGCAACATTTGCAGCTGTGATGGGAGCGGTGCATTATGGGCAGCTATCCCAGCATTCATGTGGCTGCAACGTGCTTTTCGAAAACCGGGGGGGGGGGTGAAGGTGGAGTGTGACAGGGAGTGTGGGGGGAGAGAGAGTGCTTTTTGGAGCATGTCAGCTCTCTATTTTGCAAGTTCCGAACTCCCTGCCCCCCCTGCTCATTCATTCACTCCCTCAAAGCAAACAGCAAACTGTTTGCTTTTTCTCTGTGGTATGAGCTTTGAAACCGACACTTCCGCATTCCTGCAGCGGGTCACAACAATGGAGAAGATTGGCCACTTGACAAGGTGATCAGAACAGCGCTGCAGGTTGATTCCTGGCACACACTCACAGGGGAGAGTCGTAGCCACTCCACTGTATCTCTTATGCTTCTCGCAGAGGTGGAGTACCTGCAGCGGTGTACCCAGGGAGATACAGCGCTGCAAGTGCCCTGCCAGTGTGGACGGGGAGTGAGTTACAGCTCTGGGGGAGGCTTTACAGCGCTGTAACTCGCAAGTATAGCCAAGGCCTTAGGTTTACAAATGGATTACTTCTATTCTTGAAACCTAATCTGTTTACATGCAGTCAAAATTAGGTGCAGGTTCGGTACTGCCTGTGGCCTTGCCAATACTTTATGAATTTACAATCACAATTACCTATTTCTGAGAGACAAATTTTTCCCTTCCCTTCATGAAAGACCCACATAAACAACAGATGGAGCTGTTTGACTGATTAAACAGGGGAAACAGTTAAACTGTTAAACTGACTCTATAAAGAGGGCTGTCAAGTGAACAAACTTAGTTTCTTCCTCTAATCTCTCTTCTATAATAATCTGAAGTGTTACTTGTGAAAATAGTAGTTAACAAGTCTCAGAAGCGTGTGTGTGTGTGTGTGTGTGTGTGTTGTTTTTCCTTTTGTTTACATGGTTAATGCATGTTTGGAGCTTTGTCTTTTTCAGACAAACTGGGTGATGTCATTATGGCAACTGCTTGCAGTGCTTGTATAGCTTGAGGAAAAACCAAAGCATTTTAAAAAAAAGTTTGCCTACTGACAGTAAAACATGATGATGATGGTTGATTGGTTGATTGATTGATGGTATTGATGAGTAAAACATCCATAATTAATATGCCAAATGATAGCCTTATTCTCCAACCACTGACTGTCATTGAGTAGTTTAGCAGGCATATTTCTCACAAAGGTTGGCATAACTTTAATTA